CTATGTGATGGCTTTGGGGGCAGCTAGGTGGCGCCATAATGTGGAAGACCTGAGTTCAGATCCCACCCAGACACTGTGTATGACCTTGGGCAAGTCTTTAACCCTGTTTGCCTCAATTTCTTTATCTGTAAAATGAGCTGGAGAAGGAAATGGCAAATCACTCCGGTATCTTTGCCAAGAAAACCCCAAATGGGGTCACGGAAGAATGGGACAAGACTGACAACCGGCTGATGTGATAGCTTTAGTCCTAGTGATAAAAAAACCTCTATTGGGGGTGGGGGTGGGGTGGGAGAGGCACACAGATACATCCATGCAAAATATAGACATAGGAAACACAAAGGACCTCCTGGGGGGGGCAGAGCCCCAGCATGTGGTGGGGGGCGTGCTGAGGGGAGGGCTTAGGTAGGATGTGGAGCAGAGTCCTGAAGGAAAGTAGGAATTTACAGTGGGCAGGTGCAGAGAGGGCATTCCAGGCGTGGGGGACAGCCAGGGCAAAGGTGTGGCTATCAGAGATGGAACACGGGGACCACTTGGGTCGTCATATAGACGGCAGGAAGGAGGGCCACGTGGAGTGAGCCTGGGCGTCAAGTCGAGGCTCCTACGGTGAGAGGTGAGAGGGCCTGAGCTAGGCTGGTGCTTGAGGAGGGCAGAGAACTAGGGAGGAACCGTGGTCCACTCCAGGGTGAGACTCTTGGTGACTGGGAGTGTGCAGAGGATGAGTTGGTTTAGGGAGAAAGAGGGCGACTCCGTCTTGGAAGTGACGAGTTTGAGATGCCGATAGGATGCTGAATGAGTGAATGAATGAATGAGCATTTGTGAAGTGCTGGGCACTCTGACTGGTGCTGGGCATACAAAGGAAATAGCGGCTGCTCTGGAGGAGCTCTGGCTCTCGTTGGAAGGATTCTGCTGCAGGCAGATAAGGCCCGAAGGTCCTGCGTGTGGGTCTCTGTATAGCAGGGTGGACAGCAAGACCCCAGAGGCCTTAGGATGCATGGAGTGTCTGCAGGGCAGGGAAGGTGGAGGGGAGCCGCATTGCTCCCTCGGGGGCACACGGGGCACTAGAACCGGAGCCCTAATCAGGGCTGGCCACTCAGAATGGGGAGTCAAGAGCTTGGAGACGGTCAATGAGCTCGAGGCATCTGATGGGGTCACCAAGGGAGGGAGCGTGGAGAGAAGAGCAGAGGCCCAGGGCTCACACACACACACACACACACACACACACACACACACACATATGCATGTATGCGTGCATATTCGCACGCATACACGCATGCACGCGCACACACTCAGGCAGTGGCAGATGAACAGCAAAGGCCTGGAAAGGAACAGCCAGGCAGATGGGAGAAGAGGGGGGAAACTGAGTTACGGGAGCGATGGGGGAGAGAGCAGAAGGGAGGAGGGGGCCATCGGCCCTGCTGGCCACCGCAGAGACGAGGGCAAGAAGAGGACTGTGAGGAGGCCACTGCATCTGTAGGTGAGGGAGCTGGTCGCCTTGGAGGGAGGTTCAGGAGTGTGGGGGGGCAGTGCGGGGAAGCCCCCTGGCAAGCAGTTGGGAAGTGAGTGGGGGTGAGGCGGTTCAGTTAGTCATCTGTTGTCTGTTGGGCTCATGGTGACCAGAGTTCCCCCACCCCATTTTACAGAGGAGGAAACTGAGGTCAGAGACATGAAGTGACACCGGAGATCACCAGCTCCTCTGACTCCAAATCTAGCCCTCCATTACAGGGAGAGGTGGGGTGGTGATCGGGGGAAGCTAGTCTGCATTTCCTGTATGCCCCATCCCATGTGTGTTGGGTGATGCTGACCCCTTTATTGCCAGGATCAAAGGTGAGCAGTGGGAGGTCCCCCCCCCATGCCTCTTACTTGGCCTTCACTACCGAGGCCAGCAGCCTCCCTGGGAGGAAGGAGCTTTGGGAATGCTGATGCTGGCTCTGGAAGGGCTGGTTTTAGTACAAAAGCCTTCAGGAACTTAAGCCGGCGCTGGTGCCGGTGCCTGGCGAAATGGGTGGCGAGGTTCACGCGAAGATTACGGCAGGATGAGAGCAGGGGGAAGAGAGGTTCCTCTGTGCCCTCCCTGCCTCCTCCCCATCCGACCTGCTGCCTCTCTTCTGTCCCCTTTTCTTCTCCTCCGTCTCCCCACACTTCCCCATTCCTGGCCTGGGTTTGGCCTGGGGGCCCAGGGCAGCCAAAGGTCTCTCCCTCAGGCCCCCCACCTCCCATGTGGCCTCTACCCAAGCCCATGTTGCCCCATGGAAACCGCCCATGGTGAGGAGCAGAGACGGAGGCATGATCTGTCCCGATGGGTCACTTCAGACTGGGAGCTCGCTGAGGGCAGGGACTGACTTTTGCCTTTCTTGTCCTTAGCACTTAGCTGGGTGCCTTGGCCCATAGGGCGCTTGACCAAGGCTTGATGACTGACTTTATCACCCTGAGGAGGGACAGCCGGTGGTGATGGCTGTTGGGCTGGGTGTTGGCAGAGGCCTGGGTTCAAATCCTGATGCCTTGGTCCAGTCACATGACGTCTCTCCGCCTTGGCTTACTCGCTGTACAATGGGGATCATAATGCCCAGGTTCCACTTGTCAGGGCGCTCCTGAGGCAGGTACTTTGCAAACATTCAAACTCCATTGAAATGTGAGCTCGGGCTCCCCTGCACCTGGGCTGCTGCTTTTCGGAAGGCAGGTGCCAGCCTGTACCTGGAGCCATGCTGAGTTTCATCTTCTCAGAGTCGGGCCTCAGATTTCTTCAGCGACAGATTCAGCCCGGGCCCTTGGGCAGGCTCCCAGTGCTTTCCCTCCTTTTGATAGATGGGGGAGGGAGCCAGAGACCGCGGCCAGGAGTGTGACCTACACTTTTCCCCCTGCTTTGTGGGGATTGTTAGGTTGAACAATCCAGTACATTTACACGCTTGGACCTTTTGTTTTTTCCTTAAAAACTGGAAAAAATAGAAAATAGTCAGGCCTGTAACTTTGGCTGGGAATATTGGGGCTTGGAAAGGTACTCAGTTCTTTTATTCTTATCTTCTCCTAAGCCCCCCACTCTCAGATGATTGAGACTCGATTTTCCCAGTCCCACCTACCTGGAAACCCAGACATTTTGCAGGCCAGGGAGGCCAGCTGTGTGAGGTAACACTGAAGGGTCATCCTTCAATGACACAATTTTGTACTCGGCGTCCAAGACTCAGCCTTTAGGTTTCTCTGTGACCTTAGTCCCTATAGACTTAGGAGAGCCCCGGTTTTGCCCGTGAGGCCCAGAGATGAGGCCTTTCAGACCCATGAGTGTGAGCAGCAATTGGAGGGCAGAATTCGGGGTTCCAGAAATGCCCCTCCTCCTTTATCATTGGGGTGGAAATGAGTCATCAGAGGAAGCTTGGCCCTTTGGGGAGGGACAACGTCTGTGTACAACCATAACATCCCAGGAAATAGCACCTAGTTCTGGAGTGCTAAATGCCTTCACCGAGGCTCCCAGTGTCTGCTCCCAAGGTTCCTTAGTGTACCAAGAGGTGCTGGAGACATGAGGCCGTCCATGTGAGCCCCTCTCCATTGTGCTGTCACCCATAACGTTGTCCTGGGGCCCTGAAAACCGGGATTGCCCAACCAGCTTTGGGGAAAGGATGTTGCCCTGGTAAAAGCCAGATAGTTGAGGGTGTGTCTTCCTACTGAGCATGGCACAGAGCTAGGTCCTTACCTAGGTGTTCAGAAGGCAAGTACCTTCCCACTGGAGCCCTGGCTCATCTTGGTGTTGGTATTTCCATAGCTGCCAGAGCAGAGAGTATTCCCAGGGCTAGGCCAGTGACCCCCCAAATTCAGCATGCCAGAACCCTTGGGTAGTACTGGAGACATTAGTCTCCACTTGGGTGGGCTTGCCTTTCTGGATTCTCTCTGTCTCTCTGGGGAAGGCAGTGGGGACCAGCTCAGTGATGCCCCTCCCCTCATGATGACAGGTGATAGCAATGACTGCTAGCAGTCCAGCCCACGGAGGGTTCTCCATCTGAGTGGCCAAAGACAGTCTCCTTCACACAGCTGGACTTAGCTATGAAGTCACAGACTGACTGGAAGCTAGGTGCCCGCTGGAGGGACTCTTGTGCCTCTGTGTATCAGAGAGGAATGCCAGCAGGGTAGGGAATATGCAAAGGGAGGCTGTGGGGAAGTGATGTCCACCCCTAGGCCCTCACCATGAGCGCTCATGGTACGTGCTCCTTTCCATCTTATGGAGACCGGCACTCTCTGGGTTTTAGGAGAGGAAAACCAAAGCAGGCAGGCCGGCCCACATCATCCCCTACTCAGTAAGCAAGGGTGGCTCCCAAGTGCCTCCAGGATCAGTGATAAAAATCAATCAGAGCCCTCCACCTTCTCGCCCCCTCGCATCCTCTTCGGTCCAGGGCCACGGCCTCCCGGCTGTCCCACCTTCCATCTCTCCGCTCTGGGCCTTCTCTCTGGCGGTTCTCCCCGCCTGCCCCGCTCTGACCGCTGACTCCCTGGCTTCCTCTAAGTCCCCCCTAAAGCCCCATCTCCTCCAGGCAGCCTTCCCAGCCCCTCTTCACTCCGGTGCCTTCCCTCGGTTCATTCTGCCATCCCCCCTGCCCGAAGCTTTGCTAGGTATGTTTGTTCGCTCGTGGGCATCCTCCTGTGAGCTCTGTGCAGGCAGGCGCTGCCTTGGTAGCCCGGGACTCAGCGCCTGGCACACAGTAGGCGCTCCACAGCCGTCTGTGGGCCGACGTGGCGGCAGAGGCCCTGCACTCGGATCCCTTGGGCTGGCGGGTGCAGTTGATTCTCGCGTGGATGATGCCGGTCTGGCCCTGGAGCCGGACACCGAGGTCGCTGCCTGCCGCGGAGCTGGGTGTGCTTGGGCAAGCGCCGCCTCTCCGGGGTCCCGCCTGCCCGCCAGCTCCCAGCCAGTGCGCTCCTTGGCGCCCCCTGGTGGCCGCACTTGTGGCTCGCAGTCTGCTCGGTTCTCTCCTGTGTCCCATCAGACCCCTGACCACAATTGTGACCTGTCTTTGCAGTTCTGCACGGAGCTTAACCAGCCCACCCTGCCCAGCGTCCGGAAGTGGAAGGGCCCCCGGGGCTCGTGGAGGAGCGTCGTCTGTGCGAAACCCTCCAGCCAGCTCTCTCAGGTGCGTCCTTTAGGGAGATGCCTTGCCTTGTGAGAGCGTCCGGGGGTCCTTGCTGTCCCCAGAGGCATTTTGAATGTGAGGCAGCGTAGAGATCGTTGGGAGTAGAGTCAGGAAGACCTGAGTTCAAATCCAGCCTCAGACACTTACTAGCCGTATGACTCTGGGCAAGTCACTAAAACTTCTGTTTGCCTCAGTTTCGGCATCCGTAAAATGGGGATCATAATAGCCCCTAGTGATATAGCGTTTGTAAAGCTCTTAGCCTGGTGCTGGGTACAAGCTAAGTGCTACATAAGTGTTAGCTAATAATTATTATTCTAAATCGTATATAAATGTTAGCTATAATAGTAATTATTATAAACACTATATAAATCTTGGCTCTAATAATTATTATTACAAGTGCTACATAAGTGTGAGCTAAAATAACAATAATTATTCTTCGGGGCAGCTGGGTGGCGCAGTGGGTAGAGCACCGGCCCTGGAGTCAGGAGGACCTGAGTTCAAATGTGGCCTCAGACACCTAACACTCACTAGCTGTGTGACCCTGGCCAAGTCACTTAACGCTAATTGCCTCACCAACAAAACAACACGAAACAAAAAACGGAGAACCAATAATCATTCTTGTCAGTGCTACGTCGGTGTTAGTAGTAGCGGCAATAATGATAATGATTATATAGCGCTTACTTTGTGCTAAAGTGCTTTGCAAATAGTGTAGCATTGATCTTTCCAACAGCCCTGCGAGGCAGGCACTATTATGATCCCCATTTTATGGATGGAGAAACTGAGTCTCAGAGAAGTGGAATGACTAGGCCATGGTCATACAGTGAAGGAGAGTTGTAAGAGGGATTTGAGATTTTCCTGCCTCCAGGAGGGTCCCTGTCCACCAGCTCTTCCCACCCACGGGTGCCCTGAGACTCTGCTCTTCGTTGGTGGGTGAAGGGGACTGATGCACCCGAGTAGCCACGAAGTGATGCTGAGGAGGATCTCGGCTGCAGGGGCGCCGGCCTGCGGGCTCCGGGCGTCCGTACAGACAGAAGAAAGGGCCTCCTTGGATGTCTTCTTCAGGGGCTTCCCAGCCCTTAGCCCTCAGCCTCCCAATGACCCAAGAGGGTGGTGCTGCAGGTGCTCGTGATGACCTCTGCAGACGGGGGAGACACTGAGGCTCGGAGCTCGTGACTGACTCAGGTCATCGGGCTATGAAGTGGCTGAGGCAGGATTGGAGCTCAGGTCTCTTGCTTCCCACCTTTGCCAGGCCCTCCCACCAGCTCAGGAGAGGAGGGCTGCCTCCCACCTGTTTGCTCTTTCCCAACAGGGCGGGACTTACCTGGGATTCCTCTGGGATGCTGCTGCAGGGATAGAGCTCAAGGACGCAGGCTTCCAGGAGGGCCCTCAGGCCAACAGCAATGGGAAACAGTCAAACCCCAACCCCTATCTTGCGCACTTTAAGGTACCCTTCGGGCATGTTTTCACATGTGAGTGTGTGTGCGTGCACATGTGGGTCGTACATAAGCGTGGATCTGTCTGGAGCAGTGTGGTGCAGTGGAGACTGCTGTTCTTGGGGGATCTGGGCTCTAATTCTGCTTCTATCCAGAACCTTCCCTGTCTGGGCCTCAGTTTCCTCTCTGGTAAAATGGGGGCTGGGCTAGATGGTTTCTGAGACCATCCCTTCTAGTGCCAGGTTAGGCCTCCCCCGGCCCCTTTGGCAACAATCGAGGAAGCCTCTGGACCCGTGCTCAGAAGTATGTTTTTACATGTGTAAAATCCAGCACATGGGATCACAGAGGAAGCCGACTAGATGGAAAAGCTGTTATCGAGGCATTTTTGAAAAATAAGTCTGCAGACCCACGTCAGGACCCCCTGCCCCAGATCTGTGATTCTTAGGAATGGAATTTCATAAGACTGAGCTCTGATGCTTAATGAGTTTGGGTAGCTGCTTGGGACTGTGGAAAACATGCTGGATTTGGGACAGAAGGATGTGGGTTCAAATCCCAGCTCCTGCTGACTGCTTGAATGCCCACTGAGTGCCTCCATGCTGGGCGACCCTGGGCAGCGGCTCTCTTAGCCTCCAAGTTGGGGAACAGGTGCCCTCATCTTCAGAGGGGGAGTTTCTAACTGGAAGACTCTAGCCCCAGAGGAGTCCCAGGTCCAAACCAGAACAAAAAAAACACATTGACACCAGGGCAGTTTTCCTGGTTGAGGCATTCCCCTGTGGCCCTGGGCCCCGAGAAGCACCTCCCCTGGTGGGGCTCCCCAGCATCCAGGGCTCCCCACCACGTGAAGGGTCTGCTGGCTCTTAATCCTGCCCCTCACACCTCCAAGAGGAGGCAGGCCAGCCCTTCCAACAGTGGTGTCTTCACCAGTCTCTTTTTTCTGTTGTTTCCTCCTGTCCAGATTGGGGCAAATGACCTCATGTTGGTGAACCTGTGTCTGCCAGCCCCAGCCTGCCCCCTGGGGGGAGAGAATCCTGGCAAGACCCCTAGCAACAGCCGCAGAGTATCACCCTTTGCTCAGACCCTGCAGGACATGTTAAAAGGTAGGTGCAGGGGCCAGAAGGGGGGTGTTCATCGCCACCCAGGAGCGGGAGGCTGGCAGGGCCGGCCATCGGGACGCGGGCCTCCACCCTAAATCCTCGCCCCCCGTGTGCTGTGCTGGCTGGGACCATTCCTGGGCTTCGTGTCTCACTCATCCCAGAAGCATCTCTATGTGCCTGAGGGAATCGTCCTCAATGGAGAGGTAGGATGGCAGCTGTCATTAATGACTACTCACAAAGCCCCTTGGATGTCCAGCCCTGGGAGACAGGAATGTCAGCTCCCTTAGGGCAGGAGCCCTCAAACAGGATTGCCCCTGAAAGCTCCCTGGCTGGGTCCTGGCTTCCTGCGAGGGGGACCCTTTCCCACTGGATCACAGCCCAGCGGCCTGTGAAAAAGAAAAGGGTGGCCATTTCACTGTGATTGGGCCTTTGTAATCATGGGTATTTAGTTTATACACATAAAACCCCGAGTCTGAGGAGGGGTCCTAGGCTTCACCCAGCTACTTGACCGACTGCCTGCCTGCCTGCCAGGGCTGCACATCACAGACTTGTGCCCCAGAGGCCAATGGCCTTCATGTCTGTGCGGGCCCAGGCCAGGCTTGGGCGCCTTCTCCTCCTCTTCTCTCCAGCCCTGGGATGGTGAGGCCTTGATGTGCTGCTGGCCCACCTTCCCGAGCTAGCTCTCCCACCCCAGGCTGGTCAAGGCACAAGCTCTGTGGGCTTCCAGGGGCAGAGATAAGTAGTGACCAGGAGGAAGGCTTCTGGGGCCCCACCCAAGCTCTGAGCTTCAAAAGACACAAAGCAGCTTAGGCACCCTGGAAGGGCCTGGGCCCAGGACCCTGGGGGTTGAGTACTGGGCCTGGGCCTGAGCAGTACTGGGACACCCCCCCCCACTGGGGATTGAATGCTGGGCCCCCAGGGACTGAGTGCTGGGCCTGGGCCTGAGCAGTACTGGCACCCCCTCCCCCGGGGGTTGAGTGCTAGGGCTGGGCTCGAGGGGCCACCTCACCCAGCAAACCCTGAGTCCTGGGGGCCACTTTACCGGGTGCTAGCCCCCTCCCCCAAGTGCAGGAAGGGTCAGGGGTGATGCCTGGAAAGTGTTTTGAAAACTTTTAAAGCACCATAGAAATGGTACCTGACACTGTAGTAAAATATTTCAGAGAAAGTGTTTGCTGTGCACTGTGCTGGGCACATTTTGGAGGAATCATCTCTGCAGAAAGCCGGTGTGTTGTATAGAGTTGTCATGGGCAGGGGAGGGGTGGGGATGGGGTATGGCTTTGGAGGGGGAAGAACACGGAGGAGATTGGTCTGGGGTGGGAGGAGCTGCAGTAGGGCCACAATCTGCCTGGGGAGCAGGGAGCATGCTACCCACCTCCCAGGAGATCCACGACAGGTCCCACGTGGACCGATCTCAACCTCTGTCCACCTTGCGTGAACCAGCCCTTGGGCAGGCACTTAGAAGTCATTCCCACACACACAAGCACACACCTGCATACAATCAGTGAAGATCCATGCAGCAAGGGGGGTCAGACCCCTTCCTTCCAAGCACATGCTACTGATTCAAAGTGTTCACACATGTGTTTGTGGGGTGGGAGTGAGACCGAGTCTGAATAAGGGAGACCAGGCCCCTCCCAGCTGTGGGACTCTGGTCAGGTCGCCAAACCCCAGAGCCTCAGTTTTCTCATCTGTATAGTGGGCACCTTTGTCAGAGCTGTGGTGAGGCTCAGAGGACATCACACCCCAAAGCACTGGCGATTATTGTGATCACAGTTATGATTATTATTATCACTGTACAGCTTGGGAAGAGCCCCCCCATTCACTGAGGTTGGACCTGCCTCCTCTGGGCCATCGGGGCCTGTAACTCTGAGCTTCCCTCAGTGAATGCTAGAGCCGGCATTTGTCTCCCAACACTGCCCCCCACCTCTAGCCCAGGCTGGGCCTGTGGGGCCGCCCCTTCCCAAGTGCTCTGGCCCAGGCCAAGCCCTGAGAACTTCAGAAGGGACGAGGCCAGACCTCGGAGCCCCGGCGTGCTGGGTGGCCTCCTCCCTGCCCCCTCACCCCGAGGGGCGGCAGATCCATCCCCGGGAAGGTATTGGGGAGCATTCTGCAGGTATTACAGGCTTCTGGAAGCAGGGATCCTAAGAGGCCACCCCGCCACTCCCTCATTTTACAGACGAGAAGCTGAGGCCCAGAGGGTCAGTGTTCCAGGGTAGCCCAGGTAGCCAAGCCAGGCGTGGTCCAGGGCCTCGGGCTCCAGCAGTCAAGGCCTCATTGAGTGAGTGACTCCCAGCCACTGTAACCGCCCGCTGGGCTTTTCCCTCATACAGTCTCGACTGTATTACAGTGTCTCACTGATGTGTGGGGTGGAGAATATTCTGGTGACTGTCATTCTGGTCTTATCACCTCATCTTCCCCCCACATTAAAGCCCTCACCCCTTCTTACTGGGATGACCAGGCTCTGTGGGCTCCTCCCTGGCTCCCTGCCTCCCCTCTCTAAGCCTTCCTGCCCACTGCCTATGCTTGAGGTGCCCACCCTAGGCCTCTGTGGGTGGACAGAAGGCTGCTCTGAGCTTGGCAATGCCCCCAGCAGCACCTGCAGGCTCTGGAGGAGAGTGATGGGTGGCGGGAGGGAGGGGGTGATTTCCCCGGTCCGCAGGCCTGGCTGTGTCTGTCCTCCAGTGACAGCAGCCCTGGACCGGGCACTCCTGCCCTGTCCCCGGCCCTCCTGAGCTCAGCAGCTGACGGACCCTAGGAAGGTCTTGGGGGCCTTTTGGAGCCCACTTTTCTCACCTGCTGGAGAGAAATAGAGATGGCACCTCCCTCCCAGGGCTGTTCTCAGGCTCAAGTGAGATCATATTTAGAAATGCCTGCTTTTCATGAACCTTCCTGCTTCTCCCCCGCCCTTTCCTCCTTCCCTCTCTCTCCCTCCCTCTCCTTCTCCCTTCCCCTCCCTTGCCCATCTCCCCCCCTCCTCCTTCTTTCTCTCCCTACCACCCTTCTAGGAGAAAAAGACTTTGTTATTCTGGGAGATTTTGGCCAAGCTCCAGAGAGCAGCAGCTGTGACATCTTGAGGAAAGAGAAGTTCCAGCCCCTGGTCCCCGGCAACACCTTCACTGACATCAGCACCAAGAATCCTCAGGGCATGAAGTCACTGGACAACATTTGGATCAGTAAAAGCCTAAAGAAAGTTTTCACAGGTAAAAAACCACCCTCCCCCTTTCGTGAGGCAGTCCCGGGGCAGCTGTGGCCACACCGAACACTGGGCTGATTTCTAAAAAAGGCCTGGGTTAACCTCGCGCTTGGCTTTGCCGCCCTCCTCAGACACTGGGGACTTTGGCTCCTGGGACAGGGATCACAAACTGCTCCTGGGGCTCGTGGCCTCCCAGTCGCCCACAGAGAGACCCTGACGGGGTGCTCCCCTAGCCCCCACCCGGGAACGTCTGTGGCTTTAACCAGGGGCAGAGTTCCACTGGAGCTGCTGCTGGCCATGGCGTCAAGGCGGGCAGCCCCCTCCCAGTCTGGCAGCCTGAGGCAGGGCTCCAGTTATACCTCAGACCTCCTGTGGGCCCACAGGACACAGTAACTCGCTGTGGGGATGAGGCTGAGCATTTGTGGTTGGCAGAAGCTGTGTTTCTATAGACAGAGTGAGGAGGTCAGCTGATGGAACCTGGACCAGGGGGGTCTTCTCTTTCTGGGGCCTCGGGCGGTCCCTCTGGTGAAGCCTGGGCCCTCTTCTCAGAGTTGTGTTTAATGCAGGCCGCCAAGTGCAGGGATTACAAAGGACACCAGTTTGATTGAAGTGGTCGGTGAAATGTTTAAAGAAGCCAAGCCAAACTTCACAGACCCCAGGCTAAAACCCCCTGCATTGCCTTTGGCAGCGTCACTGTGTAAATGGTTTGATCTCAGTTAACCACTGACTCTAGTGACCAGAATCACACGAGGAGTTTCCCCTCCCAGGAGCCTCAGTCTGGAGCTCAGAGGCCGCCAATTCTACAGATGAAAAGCTGAGGCCAAAGGAGGGCTCGTCCCAGGTTCCCCAGGCAGGAGGGTGGGATTTGAACCCACAGCTCCTGACCCTAGAGCCGGTGTGCTGTGCCAGGCTCTCCGAAGCTGCTCTCACCCTTACCAGGAGCTTCCTCGCTCTTCCCCTGATGTCTCGCTTTTACTCCCTCCCTCCAGGCCACTGGGCAGTGGTGAGAGAAGGCCTCACAAACCCCTGGATCCCAGACAACTGGTCCTGGGGGGGTGTGGCATCCAGCCACTGCCCCGTGCTGGCTGAATTCTATGCCGACAAGGACTGTAACAAGAAGGAGGGCGTCCCCCGCGGTGGCAGCGGCGTGTCCTTGGAGCAGAGCGAGGTCCACAGCAAACATGAGCGATGACAGCGCCAGGACAGCGGGGGCCGAGGAGAGGCTGAGCTCTCGGACTGCAGCCTCGTCTGCGAACCGCCCCCCCTTCCTCCCTCCTCCTCTGAGGCCTCCGGGAATGTTCCGGAGTCTCATCCCTGCACGTGAAGCTGTGATTCTTTATGGGCAACAGAACGGGCACGCATTTATCTGACCGGACGTTCCTGTCCAAATGCAGATGGAGAAGGGAATCCCCTCAGCAGCCCACCGAAGCTGTTGTCCTGAGCCAGAGGTCTTGGGGGGCCCAGACAAGGGGCTCTGCCCAACGATGCACTGGAACGGTCAAAGTGCTGCCTGCCGTGGGCAGGCTCTTCTCTGTGTTTCTCTCAGTTCATCCTCCCTGCTCGGGCCTCCCTTTGCGATCTCCCCTGCTTGGTCCTGGCTGAGACCGGGTTAACGAGGCGCTGTTCTCTACCCTTGAGCTCTGTTTCTGACCTTCACCGTTCATCCTCCACTAATCTTCAGCCTCTCTGCTCCTGAGAGCTAAACGAGCAGGACAGAGCTGGACATCTCACTGACTGTGCCTGGCCCACATTTGTGTTGCCACGTGGGGTGCCAGTGGTCTGACACCTGCCCTGGGGCTTTTGGCCTCCAGCCTCTGGGTGCTCTCAGCACACAGCTGACCTTGCCTTCTCCTCTGAGGAGAGAATGGAGGTCCTGGGCACCGTCCTCCCTCGTTCTCTGCTCCCAGACACCCCGTCTCTCCTGCTCCTCCCTTTGCCTGGTCAGGAAGAGAGAGGCAACCCTTCTCCTTGCCAGGGCTGACCCCTTTACTGGCCGACCCCTGGGATGCAGGACCTTCCTTTACCGGGCCCCAGGCCCTGGCCTCCCATACCCAGCCCGGTCCTTCTCATCCTCAAGCTCCTTCTATCATTCCCCAGTTCACTTTCCTGTGTATCCTGTTTGTCCTTACCTGCTGGCTCCGTGCCTGACCCTCCCCTCAAGCTACCTCCCCATATCTCTTCTCCCTTTCAGAGAGAGAGAGAGACAGAGACAGAGACAGAGAGACAGAGAGAGACAGACAGGGGGAGAGAGAGAGAGAGAGAGAGAGAGAGAGAGAGAGAGACAGAGACAGAGAGACAGAGAGACAGAGAGACACAGAAAGACAGAGACAGAGAGACAGACAGAGGGAGATAGATAGAGGAAGGAGGGACAGAGAGGAGAGGAGAGAGGGAGAGAAAGGGGGGAAGAGAGAAGGAGGGAGGGAAGGAGAGAGAGAGAAGAGAGGGAGGGAGGGAGAGGGGGGTAGCAGGGCAAAGAGAAAAGAAAGGGGGGGGGATGAGGCAGAGGGGAGGGAGAGGCTTTCAGACTACCTCCTTAATCTCTTAAAGTCTGACTTCTGACCCCAGGCCGGCCACCACCCTCCTGAAGCTTGTCTCCCAGTGGTCACCACAGTCTTTTAACTGCTAAATTCTCAGTCTTTACTACCTGCAATACCAACCACCACCTCTCTTCTCCCCTGCCCTCCCTCCCTCCCTCCCATTCTTTTTTTTTTTTCTGGTGAGACAATTGTGGGTAAATGACTTGCCGTGAGTCACACAGCTAATGAGTGTTATGTGTCTGAGGCAGGATTTGAACTCAGGTCTCTCCTGACTCCAGGGCCAGTGCTCTATCCACTGTGCCACCTAACTGCCCCCATCCCTCCCTTTCTGACCCCCTTCCTAGTCCCTTCCCCCACGCTGCCCTGTCACTTTTAGCCCAGCTGTGCCCCCAGCTCTGTCCAGGCTCTCCTGTCTCCTCATGTACCATCTCTCTCTCCTGTGGATCTCATCCACTCCCCCGGATTAAGTCTAGATGCAGGTAGTTCCAGCCCTGACCTCTCTCAAGCGTCAGCAACAGCCCCAGTCACCAGCGGGGCACATTCTAGGGGTCCCATAGTTGTTTCGCCTCTTCCTCAGAAGCCTGTCTTCAAATTTCTGTATTTTGGTGGTGGCCCCCTCTGTCCTCCCCGGCCCCCAGGTTCTACCTTGGAGGTCTTCCTCTTCCTCACCCCGATGTCCAGCCAGCTGCCATGTCCCGTCCATCCTCCCTTCACACTGCTCACATTTGTTCCCTCCCCTTGGCCCGGATGGCCCCACCCTAGTTCAAGGCCCTCCCACCTCTCCTTTGGTCTCCCTGCCTCTGATTTCTACTTTCTCCAAAGCTTCCCCCAACCAGCTGCCATCTTCCTTAGGGCATGGCTTCCTGGTGCCCCTGAGACAAAATTCCAGTCTCCTTAGCTTATACTTACAGACAGCCCAATCTCTTTCCAGACTTGATTCTTTTTCTCTGAGCATTCTATGTCCGGCTGCACTGGCTGCTGATGGTCCAACTGGACATTCCATCTTTGCATCTGTTGCTGTCCCCCGAAGCGGCCCCCTCCTCAGCTTCATGTCGTCCTTCAAGGCTCTGCCCATCTGCCTCCTGATCTGGGAAGCCTTCCTTTCCACCCCCAGTCCTCCCTCTCCCCCACTTCGGGTCATCTGAAAACAGAGCGGTCCCTGTTGTACCCCCCTAGAGTGGAAGCTCCCTGAGGGCAGGTGCCGTTTCCTCTTCGGTTCTGTGTCCCTCCTGTCCAGCCCCGCATTTTGCAGACGGTGGGCACTGAATAAACGCTTATTGGATTGACTTGACTTGACTTGAAATAAGCGTCAGCAGAACCGGCTGCTTGGCTCCGTTGATGGCGTTTTTGTCTTCAGTCAGTTGTCCAGACAGTCTCAGAGGAGGGTCCTCGAACTGTCTCTGCCCAGAGGTGCTGGGCTCCCCCAGGAGACGCCTCTCTCGCTTAGCCCCTGACCTCACACCTGTGTTTGCACCCCGCCTCGTTTGTGAATGAGTCCCCCTCCCCGGCCCTCCCAATTACACACCCCCCCACACCCACACACACACACACACACCCACACCCACACACACACACACACCCACACCCACACACACACCCCCACACCCACACCCACACCCACCCCTCCCCCCAGCTCAGCCGGGCTCTCGCCATCACAGCCGCAGAGCCGGGACGTGATGTTTTACCGGGCAGTAAAGGATGGCCTTACACAAGTGAACACAAGCTGATTAAGAGAGAGAATTGGGCCTCGACGGAGTAAGGAGACGAGGAGGGATTATGTAGGCCTGCCACTGGGAAAGGGGAAGGCAAAGGTGGAATTCGGTAGAGCAGCTGACCCCGAAGGCCGAGGGTGTCGAGCCCGCCCCCCCCCCCCCCGTATTCTAGACAGCTGTGCTGATTCTTGCGGGGCTCGGTGGTGCGCTGGCACGTGGAGTCAGAAGACCCAAGTTCGAATGCTTCCTAGCTGCGTGACCTTGGGGAAGTCAGTCTCTGCCTCAGTTTCTTCGTGTGTAAAATGGGTGTACTGAGATCACCCACTGCCCAGAGTGGTGGTAGATTCCAATGCGGAGCTGCGCCCACGGCCTTGCGCCCCGGGAGGGTGCTGCTGCTGAGTGCCCTGGACAGCCCTAGTCCCTCAGCGCATCTCTCCTTCCACTCCAGGCGCTCTGCCTCCAGAGATGACTCTCCTTCTTCGGCTTGTTTTGCAAACTTTGAGAGGTGTTGAGCAGGGAGCTGCGATCGCTTCTCCTTCCCGCTCAGTAAGACATGGCTTTGATGTTGCTAATTGGAATTCTAAAAATAAATAAATCTGGTCTCCACGTGTGAGCTGTGTGTGGGTGGCAGAGAACACAATTTGGCCGATGAAGGCTGACTCATCCTCGCTCGGGCTCGGAGCAGCCCTGGGGGAGGCCGTGAAGGGACGCGCACAGCTCCGGCCCAGGGCAGCGCCGAGGCGCTTCCAAGCAGTCCTGGGCCGCAGGCTGCCCAATCCAAGAGAGGCCCATTCCAAGATAATCAAAGTTCATTAAACGCCTCCTGTAGCCAGGCACTGTATCAAGCGAGTCTCTGCCCTCGAGGAGCTTACAGTCGGAAAGCGGAGAATGGTGGGGAGGGGCGGCGACACCCGCGGGGACGGCCTGGGGGCCTCGTCTTCCAGCAGGTTCAGAGCGAAGGGATCTGAGAGCCGGCCTCTGCCTTCCACAAGAAAGACATCGGGAGGAGTTCTATGCGCCATCCTGCAGAGGAGAGTGGAGTCCGCCCGTGGAGGCTGCAGTTAGCAGCTTGGGGATGAGCAGGCGGAGGGGGTCTCTCCAAGGGAGAAAGGTGCTTCTGGTGGCAGGGGGAAGAAAAGGCAGGCTTGGGAGGGAGGTGCCTTTTCCGACTCCAGGCTAGTGTCCTGACCTTCACTCAGGGGTGGCCGGTTAGCCGGATTCCCAGGGAGCCTTCAGGGGCAGTCCTCGGGCTTTGGCCAGAGCTGCTGGGTGATGGAGAGACCTTGGAGACGGAGGCACCGAGGGGACCTTCGGGGGGTGCAAACAGGTCCCTCCCAGCGTAGTGCAGGAGAGAGGCCTGCCTCAGAGTCTGAAGGCCTGGCCCCACTGCCCACTCTAGAACCCTGCTAAGAGAATCAATCTCTCTGAGCCTCCGTTTTCACATCTGTGAAATGGGATCACTGACAGGTGCAATGACTCTGTGAGAGGGAAAGCACTTTTGTGAAGAAACACGTAAAGGCTGCAGAGCTGCGTTATGATTGGTTACTGTGGTTCAGTCGTGGACATCGTCCCTGGAGTTTTCTTGGCAAAGATACTGGAATAATTTGCCATTTCCTTCTCTGGTGTGCCCTCATTTGACAGCTCAGGAAACTGAGGCAAATAGGGTTAAGTGACTTGCCCAGGGTCACACAGCTAGTAGTGATTGAGGCTGGATTTGAACTCGTTTCTTCCTGACTGCAGGTCGGGGGCTCTATGCACTATGGCGCCACCTACTGGCCCCTGTTAGTCGTAGTAGTACATACATATGAGGGATTTATCGTTACCCCCAGGTGTGATAAAAGAGGAACGTGGGCGCTGCTTAGCGCTCCTGGAGGAGGACCCGGGAATCCTAAGAGCCGGCACTTGGGGCCGGAAGACATTTCTCCAAAGGACGGACCAACATTGACATTATTAAACACTGTTTAGGCAAATCAGAAACCGAAACCTAAACTTTGCATTTTTGCTGCGGAATTTCGTGTTTTGTTTCGTGATGACCGTTAACTGTTGACTATGGATGGGTCAGAGAGAATTGTCGTTAAGGGGAATCCCGCTAACTACTCTTTGGACCTCTCTTTAAGTAGAAATAATAGTCTATGTTTGGAAGCTAGGGGGCGCCATAGTGCCGAGAGCGCAGGGCCTGGGGTCTGGAAGACTTATCTTCCTGAGTTCAGATATGGCCTCAGACACTTCCTCTCTGTGTGACCCTGGCCAAGTCACTTCGCCCCGTTTGCCTCAGTTTCCTCATCTGTAAAATGAGCTGGAGAAGTAAATGGCAAACCACTCTGGTATCTCTGCCAAGAAAACCTCACATGGAGTCACAAAGAGTGGGACATGACGAATTGACTAAAAAAACCCAACCATATTCATATACAACTTGTCTCTGACAGCGTGCGCAACGCCCCCTCTCTAAGGGAGGAGATGGAGATGAAGACAGACAGACAGACAGACAGACTAATGGGAAAAGGACCTGGGCTTAGCCACAAACCATCGTTTCTTTGCTTTGGTTTCCCAGGAATGGCTGTCCCCTGCTATTCAGACCTAGTCTACCTCCCTTGTTTTACAGAAAAGGAAACTGAGGCCTGGGGAGATGAAGTGACCCACCCAAGGCCATACAGATAGTCAGTGGTGAAGCCAGGATTTGAACCCAGGCCTTCCGTCTCTAGGGCGAGGCTTGGTGTTCTTCTGTTTGTGAGTGCAGTGGTGGGTCCTGGCTGCCCCTGAGAAGCAACCCCTCAGATCCCCTGGATTTGTGTTCTGGGCAGGGGGAGCAGAGGGAGTGAGGTCTTTGGCGCAGGGATTTGTTTTTCAGTGGAGCAGTGGGATTAAGGGAAAGGCTCGGTTTTATCCCCCAGCACAAGCCCCCCAGGGCTGCAGCCCCCTCCGCCCCTTCCAGCAGCCCACCCATCCCAGATGGCAGCTGGCAGCCCGGCGGGGTGCTGGGGAGGGGGGGGGAAGCTC